TTTCGATCTCTAGTGTTCATACTTATAGTTCATCTATTTCTACAAGAAATGAAACCATCTCCTGAAAAGCCAAAAAAAAAAAGCATCACTTTTCATTCATAGACTTTTTTTTCTAACTCACTGTAAAGCCCAATCTAGCAGGTGACTAACAGGCCACATCGCCTGAGAAACACCTTGTCAGGAGCATGGTAGTTCATGATTAGGAGAAACTCAGTGGCCGCAAGTCTCGTATTGACCAGCTGGGGTAAATATGGGACCTTGCCGAGCCACGAGTTTATAAATGAGTAAATGAGATTGTGATCTTCATCATCGTAATGACAGCCACATGCTTTCAGACGATACTTACCTTCGGCCAGACACTAAGCCGCCAAAATTAGGAAGAGGGGGTAGAGGTACAGTAGCACACGACAGATTTTTTTGCGTTTTTCTCTCTCTTTTTATCATCAAGCTTTTTCATTTTTTGCAAGAGTTTACCTTTTTGGCACGAAACACATTTTTTTTACTTTAATTTATGGAATCTAAAATGAATGTTTAATCCCCCTGTGTAAATAACTTATCTTTGCCTTTTGAAGTTGTATCTAACACCCTCTGTAACACCTCCCATAATCCCTGCTGTTACTCAGACTACCACTGAAAACCATCACGAATTTGGAAATCTAGTGCATGCCCCAAATATCTTCAGTAATACTCTACAAAAAAAATAAAGTATATTGGTATTTTGGTATGATAGTGAAGTACATTAGATCTTTTTGAAAGTACATGTACCATATATTGATAAAGTTTGTTTTTCTAGTATACTGTATCTTTGGACTTATTATACCCATTTATTCTATGTCATATATGTGAAAATCGTTGTTATGTACATATGACTGTAACGTATACCGCATGGACAAACTGGTTGGTAGAGTGTTAAGGCGAGTGTGATGAACGGATTTTCCCATTTCAGAAAAGTCAGTCTCGTTCGAAAAATCAGTTTCGTTCAGTGACGATCTGCCAGATCTGAACACACCGCCAAAGCAACATGTTCCTGCAGGTAATCACTTCCCCCCTCTCGTTCCCTCAGAGAAATATTCGGACCTTGTCTCCTACGTCCTTCAATTTTTTTAAATCTTGGTGTTTGTTCCAATCCTCGGCCCTTTTTTTATTTGCTAATGGAAAGGCAATGCGCGTGACATTTTAAATGAAAGAACCATGTATTGTCTTGTATTCTGTGATCACTTGACTTCCATGGCATTTGGTGTATGTTTCATTTATGTTCGTCCTGAAAGTACTACACAAGTAGCTGGAATAAGCTTGGAGTGCCTTAATTTTATTTTGTTCAAGCATGGAGAATGGACAGGGATTTGTGTGGTTTGACTTTATAGTATATTTTTTGTTGTTTTATAGTTATAATAGAAGTAACAGTCTTAGTTCATTCATAATAGATAATATAGGAAGCATCTAAGTAATTCTAATATGACTGCTCGTTTTCTATATGCTTAATTTACCCATTTTCTTTGACTAATCCGTTTTCTATGACTGTAGCCGAGAAACAGCCTATCAAGCCTGCCATCAAGTGCTCCACTCTCCCCAGGATGTCTTCCCAAGGTAGGTGGTGTCACTTCTAATTTTCTTGTAAAACATTGCAAACCTCTTAAAACCACAGTTAATCCAAGTCTGTATCACGTGTAATATGTGATTTTATTGCTGTAAAATCATATATAATACAACTGCGTTCAATCGCATGAAATCTAGTTTCATTACTGTTGTATAAAGAGGCATGTTGCACAAGTATAATTATTAAACTTTTATCTATAATGCTTGTTCATATTTACGGTATCTGCAAGAAAAAAATATAATTATACATAATATAGACTTGATCTAAATTTTGTTACCAGGTACCAATAAACCAATAAACAGTCGTATTATATATTTAGCTATATTTAGTGCTCAAGGGACAGGAAAAGTATCTTGCATGCTCGTTACAGAAATCCGTGTTTTCACCAAGTAAAACGGAGAATAGATAAATTGCCTTACGGGATATGCAATATTCCATAACCCCCATGGTCTTATAAATTATATTTCAGTGCATACAAAATGTCAATTTATATATAGTTCATTGTAGCTGTTTCTCTAGGTGAAAACACTTTCAGGAAAGTAAACAGCGTAGATGAATAACAGATAAAAGTCATATCATACTGTAGGTAGAGGATGAGTTACAGTTTTAAAAAATCATGGATCTAATGATAGCATAATTAGGTTGAATGCCATTAGAAGTGCATGGACATTAATAATTACGAAGATGTCATAATAGGAGCATGTCCAGTTTTCTTGACATTTGTTACGTCCATTCATCTGTTATTTTTTGTGCTTTCTATCTAGCTATCTGGTCTCTTACAACCGTTTATTATGTTCCATTTCCTTTTCCTGCTTTGTGTTTGTGAAGTCCCGCCTGCGCATGCCTGGCTCTCTCCTCCAGTGCGCAGGCGTGAAACCAGGCGCCCCGTGACGTCACAGCCAG